ACGGAGTGAAGAATTGGAGGAGCCACCTCCACATCGAAGTGAATCTACCACTGATTGATCAAGCCAGATGAACAGAACCATTGACTTAAAAAAAAAAAGAGAGTGTTTTTAAGAGAAATAAACTCTATAGAAGAATATATATATATATATATATATATATATATATATATATATATATATATATATATATATATATACAAGAATGAGCTAAAGTCACATAACGCCAAAAGAGAGATACTATTAAGTACGTTCGGATTCCTAAAAACAATCATAGTTATTTTCTATTATTTTACGGAAATCGAATAAATTTAAATGTGCAAAAAATATTTTAAATCCGCTTTTATTTTAGTAAACGTTTAAGTATTATGATTATAAATTACAATTACAATTAAAGTATCAACTAAGGAACTATTTTAAGCATTTTTTTCGTGTTTAAAAATTATAAAAAAGATTTTTACAAATGATCAAAGAATTCCACCGTAATCACATTTATCGGGGAAACCCTAATATCAGTCGTTTTAGTGCGTCTTTTAGTGCGTCGTTAACATTTCGAAATAAAAGTTTAAAATAATTTGTTATAAATAATCACGCAAATGACGTCATAGCGCGAATGGCTTATTTCTCCAAAACTCGTAGGTTTCTTTAAATTTAATATACGTGCGTGAGAAAACTGATAATGTATTTTCCCTTCTTAAAAGTAAAATTAATAATAATTAAATTTTTAACAAAACATACACACATTTCAGCTGTTTATATTAACATTAAAAAAGTTTTGCCTTTTTTAATTCCAAAAATATACATTATTAAATTTATAACGTAATAAAAACTAACCTTTAAACATAATTCTAATAGCAAAGTCCCGTTTAAGTCAAACAGTGCAGCGCAACTCCATAGCCAAATAGCAATCAGTAATCCACTTATAACTCATCTAAAATCGGAACAACCATATGAAGTGAAAAATATGTTAGTTTTGGTTTGGAAGGGATTACAATCCTGTGGAAAACTGTATTAATTTTGATTTTAAAAATCTTGAGGGGGTGTGGTTATTTTACAGCACAAGATAAGTCTCCAAATAAATCAATGAATTTGATAAATAATTAACCTCCTTGTTTACATATATATCGGAGGAAGTAAATAGGATGTGTACATTTTTACGTGGATGACAATATTTTTTAAATCCTATGGTATTACATTTGTGATAAAAGAGATGTTACATTTTCATTTTACAAATAAACATTTGCGTAACAATTAAGAAAATCAATGGCGTTAACAAAACGTGGGTACATGTAGATAAGCACACCCATGAATATCAAAACCCAATCATTTTACACACCTGAAAATTTAATTTTGAAAAATGGAGATGGGTTAATATTTTGTTTCAAAAAAATTAAAACCATTTTTGTTTTTAATTTGCGAAAATTAAAGTGGGTGCATATTTTTATGAGATTAACAAAAAAAAAAAAGACATACGCGTCTGTTATAGACGTGAAAAACGGTTGCGAGATTCTTCTTTAGATAACAGAATTTTTTGTTTTACGATTTTTTGAAAATGTACAATTTTTTTTAAAAAGCCAAAATGTGTTTACATTTTTTATGAAGGTATTTATTTATAAGATATATATTTATGTCATCTAGAGAATTTTTGTTGTAAATATAAGATTATGTTTTTTAACAATTTTTAGAAAAAAAGGTGTAATTCAAGGGCACGAAAAGGGGAAAATCTAAAATATTTCTCTAGCATAGTAATTGTCCCTCAATTAACTTCTTTAGAGACAAAAGTGATATAATTATTGATAATTTAGGCTGGGTAATTTAAGGTTATGTTTAGAGGGGGGAAAAGTAGTTTAGGGGCGTGAAAGGGAGTAGGGTAGGCGTATCATATATAGCAGATAAATACTTCTCAAAACATAATGATGTTAGAATCATAAACATCATTACATGCGTAAAGTTATGAATTGAATAATCTCAAAGGACCTACCATTATCATCCCGATAACATTGGGTCATTTATTCTAGTTGTTCATAATAAAATAGAACCTAGATTAATTTTTATGCAAGTTGTTTTGCATATCCTTCACTGTCATGCCCTGTACTAATTCACCTTGAAATAAATACGTTCATTTCATTGACTGAAAGGTGTCATGAAGTATTTGATAGTAAAGGCATTAGTGAGTAAAGTAATTATGTCCCTAAGTGCGTGAAATCGATATAACAAAATAACCCCAGTCACAAGCTGGTGGGACACTCATCAGAGAGTTGTTCCAACACCCCCTAATATAAAAGCCATTTACCCACATCCCAACGGTCCAAGGACTAGGGGACATGATGCTAATGGAGAGTTCAGCTAAATGGCCAGATACCAGTGATAACATTATTTGTTTAACTTATCCAACATGTTGAAATACAAATGAAGTTATTAGAGTCTGCTTATGCAAACGATGATATTGAATGACAATTTCTAACTCCCATTATACACGCCAACTTTCAAGACTTCAGAGGAGCCAGGCTTATTTGATTCCACGCGCATGATATGATATTTTGTTTTTGTTGCGTAAGAGAAGTAAATCTGCCCCAGCTACAACATACGACGTTTGTGGTAGGAGAGCATGCCAAGTAGATTTCAGCATTAAGAATCCTCAGCAGCTCCTTCAAGAAGTTTTTCAGAACTGGAAGTGACAATGAGAATAAGAAATGACAAAGCTTTGGTTGACCTTAACCAATTCCTTTTGAATCGTGAGGCGATACTCTGGAAATAAAAATATGTTTATTTAGACCGATGGCAATTCAAAATTTACATTCATTATTGAGAGGTAGGTTTGATTCACTATTCACCATTGAGACAGGCTCTGATTGGTTATTGACCATTGAGAGGGGTGATTGATTGGTTATTCTTTATTGAGAAGGGGTTCTGGTTGGTTATTTGTTTATTTTTTAACGTTTTTCGTTTATTTTAACAGCGATTATTGCAGCATTCAATCAGAGATTATTGCAGCATTCAATCAGAGATTATTGCAGCATTCAATCAAAGATTATTGCAGCATTAAATCAGAGATTATTGCAGCATTAAATCAGAGATTATTGCAGCATTAAATCAGAGATTATTGCAGCATTCAATCAGAGATTATTGCAGCATTAAATCAGAGATTATTGCAGCATTCAATCAGAGATTATTGCAGCATTCAATCAGAGATTATTGCAGCATTCAATCAGTGATTATTCCAGCATTCAATCAGAGATTATTGCAGCATTCAATCAGAGATTATTGCAGCATTCAATCAGAGATTATTGCAGCATTCAATCAGAGATTATTGCAGCATTCAATCAGAGATTATTGCAGCATTCAATCAGAGATTATTGCAGCATTCAATCAGAGATTATTGCAGCATTCAATCAGAAATTATTGCAGCATTTAATCAGAGATTATTGCAGCATTCAATCAGAGATTATTGCAGCATTCAATCAGAGATTATTGCAGCATTCAATCAGAAATTATTGCAGCATTCACTCAGATACCATATATGATGATATGAGGCGACTAGGTTATGATAATGGAGTCAACATGAGAGGAATACATAATGGAGTCGAAGGAAGAGTTAGAGAGCTAAATCGAAGAGTTCTATTTTGTTCCATGATGTGCTCCTTCATTGGATTTTGTGTTTAAAGATGTAGCAAGCTGTTGAAATTAAATTAAATATAATTTTAAAAATATTTTTTATTATGTTTCATCAGGAATATATTTTTTAAAATCATGTTGCTTATTAAACTTGGGTGTTACAATTCAAAGAGAGGTCCGCTGGGACGAGCACATTAACAGTGTGTGCAACCGGGCAAACAAGACCCTGGGGATCCTAAGGCGCAATCTGAAGATCGGCAACTCAAGCGTGAAAGAAAAAGCCTATAAAGCCTTTGTCCGACCTATTTTAGAGTACGCTTCTACAGTCTGGGACCCATTTACCCAGAAAAGCATCGATAGGTTGGAGGCGGTCCAGCGACGGGCAGCGCGCTTTGTCATGAACCGCTACAGAAGCACCTCGAGTGTTGGTAGCATGCTGGAAACACTGGGCTGGTCGACATTGGAAGAACGACGACGACTATCCAGGCTCACCATGTTGTACAAGATAACAAATGGGCTGGTGCACTGCTCCGGAATCAAACAGAAACTCGTTCATCTTCCCCCTAGACTGCGACGAAGTCACGACAAACAGTTCCGACTGGTAAAAACAAGAACAAAGTACAGGAGCTCCTCATTCCTGCCGAAGACAATAGGGGACTGGAACAAGCTTCCAAAAGCAACAGTTGAGGCAGCTACACTAGACACATTTGTGTCTATTACCTCCTGTATTCCAACCCCCAGTTCATAACACCACTGCTGAGTCGCCCTTGCAACCAGTGAAGCATCCCATTGAAACCCAAGCACAGTAAAATCGCAAACCCCTCTGAAACATAGGAGCCAGAATGATCAATTCATTGATCGTGGGCCCTTAAAATAAAGAAGAAGAAGAAGAAACTAAGTTTAGAACAATAATAATCCCCTGACTAATTTTAAAAAAAAAAAACATTTTAATGACAGAGTTGATGGAAACATTTGACTGCATTTATAGAGTAATACAAACATTGATTTATTTTAAGGAACCGCACAAAAAGATGAACAATCTATTTGTTAGTAGTTAAATCAGAAATAAGTTAGGATAGTTTCATACTCATTTAATTAAATATATTTATAAAAATCACAAGGATATTGACTGAGAATTGTGCTTCTACCAATGTTTAAAAAAATGCTCTAAAATTATTCCTCAACTGTTTTTTAATCTACTTGTTACCAGCAGGCTTGTGAGAGTTTCATAATAAATTAGGCTTAGGTCAGGTGAGGTCAGGGCGCAGCATTATGCCGATGTGTGACTCCAATGAACCATAAAAAGCCAAGACCTCGGCCTTCCCCGTTGGGTTTTTGTGCTGTTTGCAGTTGTGTCAATATGCTCTTCACTGGAGCGTGCCAACTCAAGGATACTTCTGCTATGCAACTACTGAATAGGGTCTCGTTGGATTCCTTCACTCCTCTATAAGTATAACATTTTAAAAAATGGTTGTACACAGTTATCTATTAGCTTGGAGTTACCTCCATTGGATTAAACTTTTGTGAATGTGTTACAATTTTAAAGTTATGATTGAACACTCGCATGTGAGATTGGTTTTTGTGTAAAGTGTTTTCTGCGACGCAAAATTTAGAATGAATTTTATGTTTGCTTGAAGGTATAAGAATATTTTTAGGTAAGAGAGATTATGTTGTGACATTTGCTAAAATACCAATTAGTCACATTCGCGAGAAAGAAATGGTTTTTCGATCTTTTTCTTTTGATACAATGCACAGTTATCCGTACTTGGAATATTTTTGTTCTATATTTTAAAGACTTAAATTTGATTGGCTGTTGAAAGAACTTTAATGGCGGCATTGACACTTTGAAAAGTAAAATGTATGTTCAGGGCAAATAGTTTTATTCGATGTGTCTGGATTAGGCAATACTAATAATACAATATTTGATGTGTCTGGATTAGGCAATAATAATAATAAAATATTTGATGTGTCTGGATTAGGCAATAATAATAATAAAATATTTGATGTGTCTGGATTAGGCAATACTAATAATACAATATTTGATGTGTCTGGATTAGGCAATAATAATAATAAAATATTTGATGTGTCTGGATTAGGCAATAATAATAATAAAATATTTGATGTGTCTGGATTAGGCAATAATAATAATAAAATATTTGATGTGTCTAGGTTTGGAAATAATAATAATAAAATATTTGATGTGTCTAGGTTTGGCAATAATATTATTTAAAAAATGTATGTGTCTGGATTCGGCAATAATAATAATAAAATATTTGATGTGTCTAGGTTTGGCAATAATATTATTTAAAAAATGTATGTGTCTGGATTCGGCAATAATAATATAAAATATTTGATGTGTCTGGATTCGGTAAAAATAATATTAAATTTGATCTGAAAATATAATTGAAGCAATTAAAAATGTAAAGAAAAAGTAATTGTAATATTCATCTAGGCCCTACAGACCATTGGTGGAGACTAGAGTAGGCCCTATAGACCAGGGATGGGAAGTAGTAGCTGCTTCCTCTGCCCTCCTGTGTAGACGCCCCTGGTCCAGGGCTGCAAAGAAGACAACGTCGGGAGCAAAGAATGTTAAATGATGTATGCACGTATTTCAGAAATATGTAGTGGTTACATATTATGCATATGTGTACATAGGTTGTTAGCGAATTTGGTACATAGGTTGTTAGTGAGATCGGTACATCGGTTTATAGGAATATGTGTACACATGATGATAGTGATAAGTGTAACTAGGCTGTTAGTGACATATGTTCATAGGTTGTTATGTACATATAGGCTATTAGTGATATGTGTACATAGTTCACAGAGACATGCTAGTAACTATTCCAACAAAAGACATTGGAATGTTATTGATCAAAATACCTAGCTCCTAGCGTTTTAATTTTAAAAGTAGGTGTTACCGGGGGCGTCTATCCCCCACCCCTGAGTGGTTGAAGCCATACTCCCGCGCCCCCCCCCCATGGACCTTGATCAGTTATGCAAATATTGGCTTGCAGTTTTCCTTTCAGACAATGTTTTCAAGGTAGTGGGGGGGAGGGGGTGAAGGGAAATAAGATGTTCAGGTGGGAACTGCCAGGGGCGTTGGCAGGGGCGGAGGGGAACCCCTTTTTCTATTTATTGAAGGGAAGCATGTTTGGCTGACTGCTGATGACGGGGGGTGGGGGTAGCAAATCTCTTTCTTCGCCTGCTATGCATATTTTAGATCCACTCTTCCACACGCAAGGGATGCGACACCCAACCCATGCCAGGATTACAGGCCACCTTGCTTCTATAAAATTGTATAAGGATCCTTTTTGTCTAAAGCAATGTGTACCAAGTAATTTTGATCTCATGAAATGATGGGGGGAAAACAACTACGCTAACTGTAAACTTCATCAAAAAAATTTTTTTTCTCCATTGTACACTCGCACATTCCATTAAAAAGCGTTTTTTTTTTTTAAATTTCTGTTGAACAAACTTCCGTACGAATAGCATTTTTCCGTACTAACAGCATTCTTCCGTATGAATAGCATTATCTCGTACAAATTGGTTTCGAATAAGTAAGTTTCATACTAATTTACGGTAACCCTATAAAATAGGGTCAAGTGTCACGTTGCTTCTATTTAATAAGATCGCTACCCAAACACGTTTGGTAATCTGTGATAAAGATATTAGACAACGATTGGGTATTTAATAGTTTTCTACCATCTCTGTTTCCCCAGTTAAACCTTGACTTTGCGCCCGCCACCATCATGAACTTCATGCCACAGGTCAGTTTGGGCAGTACGCGAAATTTAAACCACGCCTATGGTCACACGGCACAGCTGACGAGGAGAAACACGGCGATCGACTTCAACAGGCTGGGACTTGCGGACTACGACACCAACGTGCCGGAGACCATCCCCCTTGGAGAATTTCATCGTCGCCGACACAGTCTTCCACGCAACGCTTTTAATTTGCTGAAGCAACATTCCCCCCTTTTGCACCGAGATGAACCACCTGACCTAGACTCCGCCCGGAAGCACGAGTCTGATGGAGAAGACGACTCCCTGGTGCATCATCCCCTCCTCGCTATTAAGAACTTCCTCCACGCTGATGAAAACGACAATGACAGGGCGTCGTCATACGGTAAGTCCTTGATGGAAACTCTCCCTGAGAAACACGACTGCAGTGTTGAAGGTTGTCAGCGAGTCACCATCAACGTCAGTGGTTTAAAGTTTGAAACTCAGCTCCGCTCTCTCAACCGCTTCCCCAAAACTCTGCTGGGAAACCCGGAAAAACGGAAGAAATTCTGGGACGAGAGACGCAAAGAGTATTTCTTGGACCGCCACCGTCCGACCTTTCAGGCGGTGTTGTATTACTACCAGAGTGGAGGCAGATTGAACAAACCGCTGGAGGTACCCATCGACGTCTTCCTCAGCGAACTTTACTTCTATGAACTGGGTGAGGCAGTCATTGATGGGTTTAAGGGAACGGAAGGAATTCAGATTGACAGCTCGGTGAAAATTCTTCCGGAAACTTACTGGGCGAGAAAGATTTTCCTCACCATGGAGTACACGGAACATTCCAAAGCCTCGCGCATTTACGCCCTCATCTCTGTGATCATGATTCTGACATCGGTGGTGACGTTCTGTGTGGAGACATTGCCCCAGTTTAAGGACGACGGCTGTAAGAACACCAGTGTCCTGGACGTGGCGGGCAACTGGACAGATACCACCATGGTGGACTGGGCGGGCCCACTGTTTGTTGTTGAAAGCTGCTGTGTGTTTTTCTTCGCTGGCGAATTGGCCATCAGATTTCTGGTCAGTCCCGACAAAGGGAAATTTTTAAAAACAGTCATCAATTGGATTGACCTGTTATCGATAGCGCCCTACTTTATTATCATCAGTAAGTTTTCTATCTGGAAACTTTAACAGTGTTAACCCATTTTATTTTCTTCATAGGATGTAGGGTGTGGGGTGGAATCTAGGGTGTGGGGATGAAACTAGGGTGTGAGGTGGAGTCGAGGGTGTAGGGGGTGGAATCTAGGGTGTGGGTTGGAATCGAGGATGTAAGGTGGAATCGAGGGTGTTGTGATGGAATCGATGGTGTTGGTTGGAAACTAGGGTGTGGGATGGAATCGAGGGTGTTGTGGTGGAATCGAGGGTGTTGTGGTGGAATCGAGGGTGTTGTGGTGGAATCGAGGGTGTTGTGGTTGAATCGAGGGTGTTGTGGTGGAATCGAGGGTGTTGTGGTGGAATCTAGGGTGTTGTGGTGGAATCGAGGGTGTTGTGGTGGAATCTAGGGTGTAGCTGTGGAATCTAGGGTATGGGTTGGAATCGAGGGTAGGGATGGGTGAATGATTTTCTTTGTTTCAATGATTTCCTCAACTTTTTTTTTTAATGTCTTCAAATTTTGTTTGATTGCTTAGATTGTTTGTGCTCTAGAGATCTGACTTAACTCAACGGCAATTCAATAATGTACCATGAAACAGATTTTTAATAATAAAGATTTTTTTAGGATGGAGCTCTTGAACTTTATCCTCAACCACTGGCAGTGAATAACTTAGCTCCTTCGTCTATACATATTGGTTAAGAATTCAGTTTATTTTTCCTATTTGACCAAAAAAAAAATTACAGCAACGAATAGTTAGTTTCACTATTCTATCTTCCACATGACAGCCATGAACACAATCAATGGAGAGTGTGGGGGCAAGCACAAGACTGGTTCATTTCTCAGTGTCCTCAGAGTACTGCGTGTCGTTAGGATCCTGAAGCTCAGTAAACATTCTCATGGTCTCAAGATACTCGGCAAGACTCTCCAAACCAGCTTCCGGGAACTGACCATGTTCCTCCTGTTCCTCTGCATCGCCACTGTCATCTTCTCCGGCGCCATATTTTATGTCGAGTTGGGCAACCCTGAGGGCATGTTTGTGTCCATTCCCGACGCCTTCTGGTGGGCAATCGTAACCATGACAACGGTAGGCTACGGGGACTATGTACCTGTCGGACCACTGGGCAAGTTGGTTGGCGGGCTGTGTGTTCTGTCCGGCGTTTTGGTCATTGCTCTGCCAGTCCCTGTCATAGTGGCCAACTTTAATAACTACTACAGGCATTATACAAGTAAGTTTTATCAGTAGGTATCTATGTAACTATTTATTGTTTACAAAATGGACAAAGATATTGCCATACATTGACTATAAATAAAAAATATGGAACAACCTTATAATTTTATTTTTTTTTAAACTTCTCGAATTGAAAATTATTTATTATAGTTGATCAGTTAAATGTTTATATTTATAATTTATCTATTGATAGTTGAAAAGTTTGTTGAAAAGTGTAAAGTTGATATTTACATATTTATATTTTAACAGTTTGATGTTGATATTTATAATTTATTTATTTATAGGTGAAAAGTTTAATGTGGATACAAAATATATATTACATATTAATTATTTAAAGTTGAAGAGTTTAATATTGATATTTACACATGTTATTTTACTTATATTTTTTTATATTATTTCATCTTTAGAATTAATTCCCTGTTGACACATTTTATTTTCCAAAGTACTTCGAGAGAATGAGATTGACGTCATCACTAAAGAAGACGTGTCTAAACCGTCCAGCCAGGTCATTCACCTCTTGGGATTAGTTGCCAAGGTAATCACATGTCTCATTGCCCAATGTTGTTTTTAATTGATACGAATCTCTATGGCAACGAAATCTAACCCTAATCTTTACCAACCTATCATATTTGTGTTCTATCTTTACTAACCAATCACATCTGTGTTCTATTTTACCAACCAATCATATCTGTGTTCTACCTTCATTGCTGCATAGACCAACCAATCACATCGTCATGGGATGGATGAAAGTGGGAAGTGGGGCGGGGGTTATTTTCGATGCATTCATAAATTCAGGACAGTGAAAGCAACTGAACCTCGGGGCCAATCATCAGTTTGTCGTAAAAAGTTCTGGTTTTGTACCTAGTCTGCCCTGTCTTGGACTGTCATTGTCCTGTCATTGTCCTGTCTTAGACTGCGCTAGTCGATGTTTTCTTGCGTTTAATAACAAACAGTCATGCGTTCCTGTTTGCCGTCATGTGTTCCTGCTTCCAAACCCTTGGATCTAGGCTTTGTCTTGGCCAAGCCCCTCTTCAACCAGGCTTTGTCTTTGCCAAGCCCCTCTTCCAGGGAGCCATCAGGTCGTGGCGTAGCGCCGGGATCTTTAGCTTCAGCTGAGCTCCTAGTCTCTCGCGCCACGTAGCGGTCATGACCTACTAATATTCTTATTACCGGTAGCTCTATAAAAGATAATATGTTTGTTTCCATAGTAAAGGTAATATTCTTGTTTCCGCTATAAAGTTCATATTCTTGTTATTTCCATAAATAAAACCTTTTGTTGCCAAGATAAAAGCGGTTCATCAAATATTGAACTTTAACTTTGTCTATTTATAACTTGGCGTTTGACAGGGCACAGGGAACACCCAGACATCCAAGAGCCAGTGATTTCTAAAGGCGGAGGTCAGAGGTCGCCCACGGAGGAGACAGTGGCAGTTAAAAGGCAGTGCACAGCAACTTGTTTTTTCCAGAATGACACCTAGTACCTTTCTAGAATGACCCTGATGCGACACTCCTAAACCCTGACGCGGCACACCTAGACCCTGATGCGGCACATCTAGACCCTGACACGGAAGACATAGAACCTGACACAGCAAACCTAGAACCTGATGCGGCACACCTAGAACCTGGCGCGGTAAAACTAGACCCTGACACGGCACACCCCAATAAAACATTTTTAAAACAATGATTTCCTATTGTTCTACATGAGCCTATGATTTAATTTAAATGTGTTTTTTTTTAATGGCCGATGAAAAAAAGAGCTAATCAGGCATGTTTGGCGAGGGTGGCAGACAGATTGTGCCAACATCTAGGTTGCCTGTGTGATCAGACAAAACATCTCACGAATTGATAAAATGTACGACACACTTTTATTTTCTATCGAAGATGTAGCTTGATTTAAGAAACCTGTGTATGTCTGATGCAGTATGATGACATTTATTTAGTCGATGTTGCAAAAGAAAATATTTTAATATGTAAAAACTGTTAAATTCTACTGCAAGCATCTTTGTTGACATTACAGAGAAGCATGTCATTGGTGATTTTCTTACATGAAATTCAGTAAATACTTATGGTTAATAATTGTTATCATCAAAATTGCTTCCAAGTGACCACCAGATAAAACTGTCATAGGATGAAACTGCTCTGTATCATAGGATAAAACTTATTTGTACCATCAGATGAGACTACTCAGTACCATCGTTACTTCGGAGATGGCATTGGTGGGTCGTCGAGCGCGAGCTCATAATACCCCCCCCCCCCCCACATGGGCCGAAGCTGGGTCTCTCTATCGCTAGACCGTCTGGAAGCACTTAGGGAACCTCCCTCCTGGTCTGCGGGACGTCAAGTCGACTGAATACGCTGCGTTTTAAGCGTTCACGGTCCACTCTCCTTGGGTATGAACGGCTTTGCTTCCTCTTCGGGGGAAAGGAGTTGCGTTACCTCCCCCCACCGTCCAGCGAGTTGTCCGGTCGGGACGCAAGCGGGGACGAAACAGTCGCCTAGGAGCGGCTTTCTCAGGGCCGCGTAGCTAAAACCATCGGCAAGGGTTTTGACCGCCACCCAGGCCTCATATCCATTATCGGAAACAAGTAATCACGTTATTGCGTTCCTCTTGTTGCGTTGGGAGTCATGCAGTAGCCGGGTTTTTTTTTAGATCCGTACCATCAGATGAGACTACTCTGTACCATCAGATGAGACTACTCTGTACCATCAGATGAGACTACTCTGTACCATCAGATGAGACTACTCTGTACCATCAGATGAGACTACTCTGTACCATGAGATGAGACTACTTACTCCCATCAGATGAGACTGTCCTGTACCATCAGATGGGACTACTCAGTACCATCAGATGAGACTGCTCTGTACCATATGAGACTACTTAGTACCATCAGATGAGACTGCTCTGTACCATCAGATGGGACTACTCTGTACCATCAGATGAGACTACTCTGTACCATCATATGAGACTACTTAGTACCATCAGATGAGACTGCTCTGTACCATCAGATGAGACTACTCTGTACCATCACATGAGACTACTTAGTACCATCAGATGGGACTACTCTGTACCATCAGATGAGACTGCTCTGTACCATCATATGAGACTACTTAGTACCATCAGATGAGACTGCTCTGTACCATCAGATGGGACTACTCTGTACCATCAGATGGGACTGCTCTGTACCATCAGATGAGACTACTCTCTAACCAGATTTCACTTGTTTTTTTTAAATATCTTAACACCAATAGAGAGTGCCAAAGTTTGACATGAAAGATTAAAATTTTTAAAATTATTATTTCTCTATCATTTAATAAAACCTGAATTCATTGATTATATTTTTACTGTCCTCAAAAAATTATTTTACCAAGTTTTCTTATGATTTGAAAGGGGTAGGGATCAGACAAGTACATCTTATATTTCATAGAGATTTCAAGGAAGTAAGAAGTTCTCAAATAATTTATTCTTTTCTTTTTGTTGAATACAAAACAGTTCATAAAACACAATTTGTAGCATGTCCACATACAAATTCTATCTGACTGTGTAGCTTACAAAGGAATTTTTTTATTAGAAATGAAAGTACAATCTTTGTGAAATTAATGTTGACCTGGAAAAAATCTATACTAAATCCACTGCTTGTCGTCGTCAAGCCAAATCAAGACACAGTCAAGTCAAGACAAAGTCAAGCCAAGACAAAGTCAAGACTTAGCCAGGTCAAGGCAAAGTCAAGACATAGCCAGGTCAAGACACAGTCAAGTCAAGACAAAGTCAAGTCAAGACTTTATTATTCACTTCTAAACTACTACACCAATTAGTAGGCCCCATTTTCGTCCAATTCAACATTGTTTATGCCAAGAGTTTGGAAAGAAACAAAATGTCATCAAATCACATGGCCGTAAAACCAGGTCGATAGCATATCCGGAAATTTGATGGAAAGAAATCTCGTCGACAGATAATTAATCTAAGTAAATTTGGTTGAAACTTTTTTAAGTTCACACTTTAAAACTTTGCATCAAATTTCTTTTTGAACGCATTATTTTGTTTTACTATTTAGTATAGTGCGCTCAAAAAGAAATTTCTTTTGATACAATTTCCGGTAACCGGTCCATAGTCATCTGAAATGTACCGAGTTTCTCTCAAAATTTTTGTTCCATTGAAAGTTAAACATTTATTCGTATAAATTTTGACAAAGACATATTTACATCTGATTAAGATGGAGACAACACAAAAATGGTGAATATAATTTTAATCTGATTTTAGCGAAGAGGAAAAAGGTCAAGGTCATGATAGGTAAAGAAACTTTTTAGATTTTCTTCAAACAGACAGCTCACAATCAAATATTTGATCATGTATTGTACACAACATCAGAAATTATCACAGTGGATGATAGAACATCATGAAGTAGCCTTGATATTCACTTAAACTGAAAGCATATTTACTATCACAGATTTGGCTGAGTCACTGCCAGTCACAACCAAAGTTCAGTGTAAGATAGTATCAAGCACAGTACAGTGTACTGGTTGTACAGTGTACTGGTTGTACAGTGCACTGGTTGTACAGTGTACTGGTTGTACAGTGTACTGGTTGTACAGTGTACTGGTTGTACAGTGCACTGGTTGTACAGTGTACTAGACATCAAATGAAAATTGAGTTTTATTCCAATATTAAAAAATGAAATTTTAAATGAAATTATGCCTGAAACATAGTCATAATTGTGTTAAAAATAATAATACATATTTTATATCAAACGGCTAACTAAGCATTGAATTTTCATACTGAGTTTCTAATCAATTTACAGTTTGGATGATTATTCACAACATTTTCAATGCTAAAATCAAATTCAAGGACTTGATCGACATGTTTCAAACTTGATCGACATGTTTCAACTTCAAGTAAATGGAACAAATGATTCTAACAATGGCTTTAAATCATTCAAATCTTGGAATTGCCAATCATGAAATTTTTAGCCATTCAGAAAATAAGTGATAAAATGTCTGCATTTTTTGGTCATTTGGAAATAAATGTGTCATGATGATGGTCACTTGGAAATAAATGTGTCATGTGGATGGTCATTTGGAAATAAATGTGTCATGTGGAGTTGCTGTATGAGCTGATATAAGGTCAACTCAAATGGAACTAATAAAATAATAAGACTATCAAAGCAATTTTGGGCGCAATGCTCCTATAACAATAGCTGTTAATTTCTAACATAAAATATCACTAGCTATTTATTCATTCTTAAAACTGCAGGGGCCGTTACTCAACAGGGAAACAATTTTTTTTTAATTGCAGAAAAAATAAACTTGGAAAATAAAAAAATAAAAAGTTTATTAAATCTCTGTTCAATACCAAAGTCATTGGCATCAATAAATAGATTTTTATCAATTCCTAATAATAAATAAAACATGTTTGATATAACAGATTGAATGGTGGGGTAAAGAATTTCAGACAGCTTGACATTTATCACACTTCTGGTGAATTGTGAAAAAAAAGTAAAAATTTTTTTTATATGGTTTCGCTTGAAACTTGAACTAAAATTCTACAAGAGATTTAGAGAGTTTATTGAAAGACACAGGTTCAAGTTGGTTGCCAGCCTTGGTTGCTAGCCTTGGTTGCTAGAATTGGTTGCTAGCGTTGTTTGCCAGCGTTGGTGGCCAGCGTTGGTTGCTAGCGTTGGTTGCTAGCGTTGGTTGCTAGCGTTGGTTGCTAGCGTTGGTTGCTAGCGTTGGTTGCTAGCGTTGGTTGCTAGCGTTGGTTGCTAGCGTTGGTTGCTAGCGTTGGTTGCCAGCGTTGGTTGCCAGCATTGGTTGCTAGTGTTGGTTGCTAGCTTTGGTTGCCAGTGTTGGTTGCCAGCGTTGGTTGCTAGCGTTGGTTGCTGGCGTTGGTTGCTACCATTCAGCACTGAAATAAACCAAAACGATTCAGCCACCCATGGGGGTAAGGAGATGACTTTAGTATTAACTGTTGATTAGAAATTTTATCAGCTTCTTGCTACACAAACTTGAACAGAAAGCAGGCACCACAAATGTCACAGACTTAACTGAGCCACTTAACATTGTGACGGTGGCAACACAATACAATAGAGAAAAAGAGAAGAAAATAAACTTTGGCGATCCAGAAACAGTATTGATGGTCAAGTTGTCTCTTTGTTGTAATGTAAGTCTGATCCCATTGTCTGCCAACTGTGGTGAAATGTGTCTGCCAACTGTCACAATGTAAGTCTGATCCCATTGTCTGCCAACTGTGGTGAAATGTGTCTGCCAACTGTCACAATGTAAGTCTGATCCCATTGTCTGCCAACTGTGGTGAAATGTGTCTGCCAACTGTCACAATGTAAGTCTGATCCCATTGTCTGCCAACTGTGGTGAAATGTGTCTGCCAACTGTCACAATGTAAGTCTGATCCCATTGTCTGCCAACTGTGGTGAAATGTGTCTGCCAACTGTCACAATGTAAGTCTGATCCCATTGTCTGCCAACTGTGGTGAAATGTGTCTGACAACTGTCACAATGTAAGTCTGATCCCATTGTCTGCCAACTGTGGTGAAATGTGTCTGACACCTGTTGTGAAATGTGTCTGATAACTGTCACAATGTATGTCTGAGCCCACAAGTATTGAGATGATGATCTCAGGTGTGAACTTATCTTTAGGGACACGGGCAATGGATCAGAGCAAATCAACATCACTAAACATAGGATCAAAGCAAATCAACATCATTAAACATTGGATCAAAGCAAATCAACATCACTAAACATAGGATCAAAGCAAATCAACATCACTAAACATAGGATCAAAGCAAATCAACATCACTAAACATTGGATCAAAGCAAATCAACATCACTAAACATTGGATCAACAAGTTCCCGAGACTTAGCTGAATCAACAATCAAAGCAGGTATTGTAAGGCCAACCTAGGTAGCGTGAATAATCTCCCACACTAGTGACTACACTAGAGAGTACTCTAGGTAGTGTGAATAATCTCCCACACTAGTGACTACACTAGAGAGTACTCTAGGTAGTGTGAATAATCTCCCACACTAGTGACTACACTAGAGAGTACTCTAGGTAGTGTGAATAATCTCCCACACTAGTGACTACACTAGAGAGTACTCTAGGTAGTGTGAATAATCTCCCACACTAGTGACTACACTAGAGAGTACTCTAGGTAGTGTGAATAATCTCCCACACTAGTGACTACATTAGAGAGTACTCTAGGTAGTGTGAATAATCTCCCACTCTAGTGACTACATTAGAGAGTACTCTAGGTAGTGTGAATAATCTCCCACACTAGTGACTACATTAGAGAGTAATCTTGGCAGTGTGAATAATCTCCCACTCTAGTGACTACATTAGAGAGTACTCTAGGTAGTGTGAATAATCTCCCACACTAGTGACTACATTAGAGAGTAATCTTGGCAGTGTGAATAATCTCCCACTCTAGTGACTTCACTATGGAGTAAGTTTCAGACAGCTAGCAAAGAATTTAACTAGACATGTTTTAATTATGTTATAAAAAACAGACAGCTCAAGGAAAAATTTGTATGTACATAATACACATATTGAATACTGGGAAGTTGATATGAAGGAAGAATAAATATTATTGAATTAAGAGTTCATATGAAGTGAAGACTTATAAATTCAATGAAATCTCTTTTGTTCAACATAGTTCAATAGCTTTTTATAAAGAGAATGGTCAATGATCAATGGCTACCATGTCAATGATTAATTTGACCTGTAATATAGACAAACAAATCTGTCCACAACTAAGATCAATAGCTACCAAGACTATGAACAATGGCTACCATGTCTATGATCAATGGCTACCCCCTCTATGATCAATGGCCACCATGTCTATAATCAATTTGACGAAAATTTGAGCATGTGAAATAAAAAACAAATTTGACCAAAGTTCTGTTCGATCAAATTTCCGTCTATCAATTTACATCAACAAAATTTCTTTCAAAGAAATTTCCGGATACAATGAACTCCTGGTAAATATGACCTATGAACTCCTGGCATGACCTATGAACTCCTGGTTTGACATGATAACTCCTAATAGGACCAGATATTTACAGGTGAATTAGTAGTGGAATGTAAGATGAGAAATAACAGCCAAAGAAGAAATAAGTGTGGTGTATTCAGATAACACTCATCACACTGAAATGGAGACTGGATCAAGAAAACACTGGATGCAACTATCATGAAAGCCATATGTAACACAGGCCTAAAAGTATCATCAGACATTTCAACATACATGCCTAACAGTATCATCATACAAAGATGCTGTACAACTTGCAGTAACTTCCAATGGACATAACATAGGAAGACAAAAATATCATTGAATAAATTTGAATAGATGTTATTGTAACACTTATTCATTAACTGGTCTATACAAATTATTGTCTACGTGTATATTAAAACTATTAAAATAATTTTTTACAGACCTATTAAAACTAGACATCTAATTATTTTTTTTTAAAAACTGTTTATCGATTGCTATATTAAAACTATTCATCTAGAAGTCTTTAACAACTATCTATTTTAATCTATAATAATTTTAACATTCAGAACTAAAAAGTAAAAGAAATATGTTGAAGGAAATCTATTAATTTTAACATGAGCATAAAATAGTCCTAAATGTGATCTGTCCTAAGAGGACCAGCATTACATTACAACAACTAGTTAAAAAATATATAATCTGTCCTCCAACATTATTTAGTTCATTGACTTAATTTTTCAGTTCAAAAATGTATTTAAGATGATGTGGTTTAAAATAGAACCAATAAATATGGTATCAAATTCTATAGAACAAACAAATACTGATCAAGAAAAAAATGGTTAAGTCAGTTTTGATTTCTCCTCATGTATTCAATATACAACCAGCTTATGGAGCTCTTGGATTGCTTGTCATGTATTCAATATTTTGGTGGAAACAAAGGTGCAAGAATCAATAACCCTGGAGAAAAAACAGCAAATAAATTACAAATCTGAACTGGACCTTGAGGGGGGTGAGGAAGATCACATGAGCATGAGTCGTTGTTTTGCTCTTTTAGAAGGAGGCGATACAGAAACATCTCTAGATGCTATTAAAAGTCAACCTAGTACCATAACTGCCATACAAAATGAAAGCCAAGATGAGAAGAGAGAGAAGTCTTTGGTGGAAACAAAGCTGCAAGAACCAATAACCCTGGAGAAAAAACAGCAAATAAATGACAAATCTGAACTGGACCTTGAGGGGGGTGAGGAAGATCACATGAGCATGAGTCTTTGTTTTGCTCTTTTAGAAGGAGGCGATACAGAAACATCTCTAGATGCTATTAAAAGTCAACCTAGTACCATAACTGCCATACAAAATGAAAGCCAAGATGAGAAGAGAGAGAAGTCTTTGGTGGAAACAAAGCTGCAAGAACCAATAACCCTGGAGAAAAAAACAGCAAATAAATGACAAATCTGAACTGGACCTTGAGGGGGGTGAGGAAGATCACATGAGCATGAGTCTTTGTTTTGCTCTTTTAGAAGGAGGCGATACAGAAACATCTCTAGATGCTATTAAAAGTCAACCTAGTACCATAACTGCCATACAAAATGAAAGCCAAGATGAGAAGAGAGAGAAGTCTTTGGTGGAAACAAAGCTGCAAGAACCAATAACCCTGGAGAAAAAACAGCAAATAAATGACAAATCTGAACTGGACCTTGAGGGGGGTGAGGAAGATCACATGAGCATGAGTCGTTGTTTTGCTCTTTTAGAAGGAGGCGATACAGAAACATCTCTAGATGCTATTAAAAGTCAACCTAGTACCATAACTGCCATACAAAATGAAAGCCAAGATGAGAAGAGAGAGAAGTCTTTGGTGGAAACAAAGCTGCAAGAACCAATAACCCTGGAGAAAAAAACAGCAAATAAATGACAAATCTGAACTGGACCTTGAGGGGGGTGAGGAAGATCACATGAGCATGAGTCTTTGTTTTGCTCTTTTAGAAGGCGGCCGGACTGAGAACTAGATAGCAGGGAGAAGTCAGAGTTGTGAGATGAGTGAAAGTGTAAGCAAAGTGACAGCCCAATAAAGAACACGAGTTTAAATGTTATCGCCGGAGTTGTTTCCTTATTGAGTACCAGATCTAGATGAAGATAGCAGAGAGTAAGCAAGGTTTCCTTACAATATACAACCAGCATATGGAACTCTTTGATTGCTTGTCATGTATTCAACATACAACCAGCATATAGAACTCTTTGATTGCTTGTCATGTATTCAACATACAACCAGCATATGGAGCTTCAAACAATTCTCCTTTTAAATAATGAAATTTAAAAAAAAACATAGATTTGGATAAAAGGAAATCTGATAAAAATCCCCATTGCTTTTTGGTACATAATTAGGATAGTATGGCTGATACTACAATGGTACAATGATTGTATTAGGATAGTATGCCTGATACTGCAATGGTACAGTTGAATGTATTAGGATAAGAATGTGTTGATCTGGTCTAGTGGAACTGGTACAAAGTGTGATACAATGATGTATGTATGACTGTGCCAGTGCAAATGGACTCTCTGTACAATGATGTATGTATGACTGTTAATGTGTAAATGGACTGTCTGTATGATCTTACACCAATAATCCCTGACACCAATAATCACTGACACCAATAATCATGAGATATTATAAGGCACATAATTTGGATATCAGTCATTTCAAAATAAATATAAGACATAATATTCTGCAGGTCTAAAAGTTAAAAAAAATCAATAATATTGCTGGGAGCTGTAGACAAATCTCGTGTCCAACAGTTCCTTGTCCTCAAGCTAACCTTTGAACCCATCAAATGGTATCAAATACACAATTCTAGACATTTTCAACAAGTTTTACTTTCAGGACTTGAGAATCCCTGACACGATGAGTCACTTCTGTAACAACCAAACATCTCCAAATATCCAACCCTTGCTGGGAGGGTCCAAACATCTCCAAATATCTAACCCTTGCTGGGAGGGTCCAAACATCTCCAAATACCCAACCCTTGCTGGGAGGGTCCAAACATCTCCAAATATCCAACCCTTGCTGGGAGGGTCCAAACATCTCCAAATATCCAACCCTTGCTGGACATTTATTAGAATGACTCAAACGTGACCTGTCCTCGGAAAAAGATTGATAATTTGTTTCGTTTTCTTCAACATTCGGAGTTTTGTCAAAAGCTTTGAACAGGCTTTAATTTGGTCACCGTACCTGGCAGGAAAGGCACTGGAAGAAGTGGAGTCCTTCACATACCTAGGCATAGGTAAGTAAGTAACCAAATGAATAACAAAACTCCACTTTATCAATGTTCTGTCACACTTTGAAGTGTTCAGCCGTAAAAAAGTAAAGTTTATAGAAAAAGGGGTTTAAAGTTTTCTTGTTCTTTTCAAAAATAGTTTACTTCAAGAAGAAAAGGACTTCCCGCCCTTTGGATTGATGTATACAATGATGGGGCACCGTGCAGGGGCACCGTGCAGGGTATTAAATTAAGATACGCTTTGAAAAGCTTTATTTTTAGGGACAAAATTATTTAATAGCATGGTAATTAAAATAATTATTTAAAAAAACATTTCTATGTTAAATAAAACAAAGATATCACTACAATAAAGATTTAAAATTGGATAATCTAATTCAAGAATATCATTTTGACCCAGGTAGACCCAATCGTCTAAAAACCCTTTTGGCTTGGATTGGTTCCAGGGACTTATCTATCCTTTCATGAGAACGGGTCACAAATGTTCTTGAATTTTGATTAGAGGATAAACAAAGATAGATAAAAGATAAAAAACTTAACATTTTCCGTATGATTGACCAATCATTTCTATGGGTATATGATGCCAAAGGATACTGTCCTAGCATCATAATGCAATGTCAGAATATAGAACTGAAAAGTTTAATACCTTATTTCTGGACAGCCTTGATGGTGAATCTTTATACAACAATACAGACTTCAATGTCTTCCATACAAGTATTAATGCTTAGATGTTGTAGGACTTGGCACATTACTAGCAGAAGATTCAGGTTCTAAAGACTTGAGCAACTGACCGCTTCATCTTGTTGACCCTCAGGTGCTCTCACATTCTGCTGTATTGGCTCATCCATCTGGCAGAGATCTTCCTCAGAAACTAATGGACCTGATTCTGTTTGTTGTAGCACTGATTCTGTTTGTTGTAGCACTGATTCTGTTTTTTGTAGCACTGATTCTTTTTGTTGTAGCCCTGATTCTGTTTGTTGTAGCCCTGATTCTGTTTGTTGTAGCCCTGATTCTGTTTGTTGTAGCCCTGATTCTGTTTGTTGTAGCCCTGATTCTGTTTGTTGTAGCCCTGATTCTGTTTGTTGTAGCCCTGATGTAGTTTGCTGTAGCCCTGATGTAGTTTGCTGTAGCCCTGATGTAGTTTGCTGTAGCAATGATGCAGTTTCATTGACTGAATGTTTACCTTTTTCTTTCAGATAGTCTTTACCATTGACTTCAGCTGCATTGACTTTAGCTGCATTGACTTTCCTCCTTCTGACGACGCTGGCACTATTGCTGACAAAACAGGATGTTATACCATTACTGACCACACTGCCGTCTGCGAACTTGGTTCCTATGTGAGTGATGACATCTTCTGCTGCTTGCGGGAGCTCTTCAATGGGGACAATGTTGTAGTTCCAGGCGTCATGGTGGCACCAGGCATAGTAGAGAACACCTGCAATCAGGATAGCTGTTGTTGCTGCCACCATGACTCCAGCCATGACATAACTTTGATTTCTCACACTCAAAACGAAGGATTCTCTGATTTCTGAAAAAATGCAACCAGGACTCTTTGTAAAGTAATTATTTAAAAGCAAAAAGAAATTTTAGTGTCATCTATTTTTAAACTTCAATGACTAAATTATCATCTTTCTTTAATTTTATCATTTATTTCATGCAATGATTTTTTTTATGTCCTCTAGAGCAGTGATTTCTACATTTTTAAGTGCGGTGGACCCGTGGACCCTGTTGTACAAACTGGCAACGTAAGGCTCGCGAACAGAGGAATTTTATTCTATAAATATTTTTGTATATTACCGGCAATTATTGATTTGAGATTACAAAGCTACTTATTGATTTGAGATTACAAAGCCACTCATTGATTTGAGATTACAAAGCCACTCATTGATTTGAGATTACAAAGCCACTCATTGATTTGAGATTACAAAGCCACTCATTGATTTGAGATTACAAAGCCACTCATTGATTTGAGATTACAAAGCTACTCATTGATTTGAGATTACAAAGCCACTCATTGATTTGAGATTAAAAAGCCACTCAATGATTTGAGATTACAAAGCCACTCATTGATTTGAGATTACAAAGCTACTCATTGATTTGAGATTACAAAGCCACTCATTGATTTGAGATTAAAAAGCCACTCAATGATTTGAGATTACAAAGCCACTCATTGATTTGAGATTAAAAAGCCACTCCAGACAATAAAAAAATCATGAAGAATGTTTTCCCAACCTCCAGACTCCAAATATGATTAGAAAATAATGACACTATTAATTCATGATATTTAAGGTTCTCATTTTGGTACTTGGTTTTAAGAGTAAAGAGTTAGGGTGAGATTGTAGGATACAGCTCTAATGAGAGTTAGGGTGAGATTGTAGGATACAGCTCTAATGAGAGTTAGGGTGATATTGTAGGATACAGCTATAATGAGAGTTAGGGTGAGATTGTAGGATACAGCTCTAATGAGAGTTAGGGTGAGATTGCAGGATACAGCTCTAATGAGAGTTAGGGTGAGATTGTAGGATACAGCTCTAATGAGAGTTAGGGTGAGATTGTAGGATACAGCTATAATGAGAGTTAGGGTGAGATTGTAGGATACAGCTCTAATGAGAGTTAGGGTGAGATTGTAGGATACAGCTCTAATGAGAGTTAGGGTGAGATTGTAGGATACAGCTATAATGAGAGTTAGGGTGAGATTGTAGGATACAGCTATAATGAGAGTTAGGGAGAGATTGTAGGATACAGCTATAATGAGAGTTAGGGTGAGATTGTAGGATACAGCTCTAATGAGAGTTAGGGTCATACAACTATAATGAGAGTTAGGGTGATACAACTACAACAAGAGTTAGGGTGCGATTGTATGATACAACTACAACAGGAGTTAGGGTGAGATTGTATGATACAACTACAACAGGAGTTAGGGTGAGATTGTATGATACAACTACAACAAGAGTTAGGGTGACATTGTATGATACAACTATAACAAGAGTTAGGGTGACATTGTATGATACAACTATAACAAGAGTTAAGGTGAGATTGTATGATACAACTGTAACAGGAGTTAAGGTGATACAGCCATGAATTCATTTGATGTAAACTCTGTAGACCTATTTTTCTTATACTAAGAGTAAAAGTTGAGCAAAAATGTACCTCTGGGTAAAGCTCGAATTTCTTCCATGACTTTAGAGTGAGCCAAGTTATCAATGACCTGATCAAGCTCTTCCATCATTTTGGTCCGAGATTCTGCCATTTTGTCCATGACGGAATCAAATCCTTGGATGACTCGAACTTTGGACTCTGAAACTGACTCAGAAACTCTGTCCATCACATCATCAAAACCTTTCATGACTTGGTCTTTGGAGTGAACAACCTAGGACACAAAGGCAGACATTTTATTGATCAACAACCTAGGATGCAAAGGCAGACATTTTATTGATCAACAACCTAGGACACAAAGGCAGACATTTTATTGATCAACAACCTAGGACACAAAGGCAGACATTTTATTGATCAAAAGAGATCAAAATAACAATTGTGTTGCTAACATGACAGCCATATTTAATTGGGAATAACTCAAGCATATACAATATCTAACTCAGATTTTAAAATGTACATCTTTAGATTTAGAAGATAGTATGAAACAGTAATTCATTGTTTTAATTTCATTCTTTTGAAGAAAAAAGAAATACAATCAGTAACTAAGACATAGGATCAGTCCAAAAGAAATATGATCAGTCCAAAAGAAATATGATCAGACCATAAGAAATAGGATCAGTCCAAAAGATATAGGATCAGTCTATATGAAATACGATTAGACCATAAGAAATAGCATCAGCCCATAAGATATAGGATCAGTCTATATGAAATATGATTAGACCATAAGAAATAGGATCAGTCCAAAAGAAATAGGATCAGCCCATAAGATATAGGATCAGTCCATAAGATATAGGATCAGTCTATATGAAATACGATTAGACCATAAGAAATAGGATCAGTCCATAAGAAATAGGATCAGTTTATATGAAATACGATTAGACCATAAGAAATAGCATCAGCCCATAAGATATAGGATCAGTCTATATGAAATACGATTAGACCATAAGAAATAGCATCAGCCCATAAGATATAGGATCAGTCTATATGAAATACGATTAGACCATAAGAAATAGGATCAGTCCATAAGATATAGGATCAGACCATAAGAAATAGGATCAGTCCAAAAGAAATAGTATCAGCCCATAAGAAATAGGATCAGCCCATAAGAAATAGGATCAGTCTATATCAAATAGGATCAGTCTGTAAGAAATAGGATCAGTCCAAAAGAAATAGGATCAGTCTATATGAAATAGGATCAGTCCAAATGTATTAAGTTCAGTACTTAAGAAAATGCTTTTAATTTTTATGAGTTTTAAATTGTACAAAGGAAAGCTTTCACTTGGAATTTTTCAAATAATAAATAACTTTATGCAATAATTTTATTGATTCAAGAAGTTGTCCAGGCAGAGACATCAAGGTGTGATTTTTATCAATGAGGCATTTTAGCCTGGATGATTTCATTGTTTGCTAACTCAATTACAGCATTAAAATGTGGGTATGTTCATTGTTTGCTTAACTAGAAATATTTGTATGTTATTGTATGTTTATTTCAGCATAGAAATTTAGGCATGTTGAGTTTAAAATACAAGCATTGATGATATCCTCTACATGAATGAAATAATGCACTACCTGGTCCATGACGCCCCCAAGTTTCTCCAGGACTTTGACCCTGGACTGTTCAACCTGACCCAACATTTCTTCAAGGCCTTCCATGCTGCGGCGGATAAAGTTACTTGTCATGCCTTCAACCTCTTCTTTGAGTACTTCGGCTTCCTCCAATGAAAGTACTTCAACCTCCTCTTTGAGCACTGCAGCTTCCTCCAATGAAAGTATTGGACATTTAGCTTCTCCATTGCCATCATCCTGACAAACCCCAGCACCTCTGACAACACTGCCCCTTTGACTCTCATCTGTAACAAGAGTCTTGGAAACTTCAGGATTGTGGCAGTGCTCAGCACTACACGCGGTTGGTACTTCTACTTTGTTGGTGATATCTTTAGAATTGGCTAAATCTTGTTCACCAAAAACCTGTTGAATAATTACAATGAAAAAAAAAATTGTTGTTTGAATATTTCAGAATGGTTATCTACAAGAAAAATGTTCAACTTTCTGTAAAAAAATAATTGATCATTCATACCTGAGAGTTCAGAATTATAATTAAATCATAAAAAGCAGCTGTCTAAAATTTCACAATCTATTGCCAATAACCATTGATTACGACAGTTTATATCCAATAATTATAATTCATGATAAAGTTTCCTCAGCTATTCATATATATACATATATATATATACCCGGTATATGATAACCAAAAAATGAACACATTTTCATTTTCAATTGGTTCATTGTTTATAAATGTTTTCTTTTAAAACATTCTGATAACACAACTATTTCTCATGACAATTAATGAGTTGATAATTTATATGAAACATAAATAAATACTAGATTACCCAGTGAATTTGAAATGAATTTTAGATGATTTGAAAAGTTATGATAAATCTACAAGGATAGAGAATGAATTCATTGCATGTCTATATTAGTTCAATAAAACCATTTTGCATAGGATTTAACATAAATTACCATCTAAAATGCTAAATACTTTCAAAAGTTACATAAATAAAGTTAAAAAAGAGAAAATATCTGTTAAATGTGTTACCTTTACACAGCTGCTACTCATCAGTAATAAAATCAAATTCAATCGACAAATGAGAAAAGGTTTAAGAACAGGTCTAAGCCTAGACTTATTGAAACACCGGGGCTCATTCTTTTTATTCATAGCTCTTGATGATACACATTAAAGTATTACTCTTCTAGTTATTATGAATTTGCCTTCTCAGCCTTAGCTCCTTTTCTGTTTTCAATAAAGTCCATGTACACTGTCACTGTGTTTCACTGTGTGTTACTGTCTTGGCCTGACCTACAAAAGATTTCAATGGACAAATGATTAAATTTAATACCCCATGGCAGACATGATATATTTTGAACACTTTCTTTATGGTTTAATTTGTAAGGGAGAATCAAGTGAATGCTCTATATTGTAAGGGAGAATCAAGTGAATACTCCACATTATAAGGGAGAATCGAGTGACTGCTCTACATTGTAAGGCAGAAGAAAGTGAATGCTCTACAATGTAGGAGAGAATCAAGTAACTACTCTAGCTTTTAAGGGAGAATCTAGTGAATACTCTAAACTGTAAGGGAGAATCAAGTGAATACTCTATTTTTATTTTCAATTATGTTATTAAAATGAAGTTATTCGGCAGAGCAAAGTTAAACCTTAGTATAATTTGAATTTCCTAGGACTCAATTTTGTACATTTTTTTTTTTTTGAGCTTGTGCAATAATTTTGCACCTCCGGTTAGTGCATGTGCAATAAAAAAAAATAATAATTTTTTCTTCACATTTTTGTCAACAACAAGCCATTGTCATCAGATTGCAACTTATATGCTAAATATCAATCTTAATGTCTGAGACTATTTGCCCATGGAACTCATCGATGGGTCTGTCCAAATATCTGAGGGGGAAAATAGTTCCTAAACTTAGCTTGAGTTGTTGGTGGTGGCTCTAATTTCTAACTTTTACCTTGCACAGTATATGATTAACCTTACTGATGTATACATATTTTATTTTAAAAATTCCCAACAAACTAAATCCATTCCTATGAAAATTAAATTTAACTGATTTCTCTTCCTGATCATCCAGAATTAAGCTTTAGCAAGTAGGGGCCCATCCAGGTGTGCCCATTACAGGCCTTAAAATATTAATTAGTTATGGTATTAACAGCACCTATTATGCTGAATGACCAGCATTTCAAAATTTTCACATATTTTGCTTTGCTTTCAAATTTCATAATATAAATTTCAAGTTTTTAATGAGGTTGTACTAGGATAAAGTAGGTAGAGTATTGGTTTTGGAAATCTTAAATAATATTACTTTACTAATAAATACTATGGGACAGCTAAAATGCATTTAGTGGCAAGGCTGGCCATGTCTTCCATGGTATATATATAAGTCACGGAGGTCCCCCGGATCAAATACTGGCAATAGTTCTGTTTTTAAAAGATTTAGATTTTTAGCTTAGTATTTATATCAGTCATTAGAGAATAGACGATAGTTGAAATAGTTAAAAATGAAGATAGTCATTTCCATCATGTTGGACATTTCAACATAATTTTGGGGGATGGGAGATCCCTCTCCCACTTTCATTACTTTCAATACAAAAATAAGAAACAAAATAGTTTCTGGAACCTCTCCCCCACTTTCAAGACAAAAATAAAATTTAGAAGAAAAAACCCTTTATTTAATAAATTGTTAAAAGATACAATAATTAATAGCCAATTTAATTCTTAAAATTAACATTTTTAAGTGCCTTTATTAAGGCAAGGCATTTATGTCTATAATATAATAATAATAATAATAAAGTTCATTTCAAAAACACGCTTCATCCCCAAAGGCTCGAAGCGCGGTACAAAGTTAACAAAAAACATATCTATAATTCACCACATTTAAAACAAACGCAACACTACAAAAACTAATTACAAGCATACAATATCAAAGTCTTTCTAGCCATTTCAACCCGGAGCAACACAGCAACACATGGAAAATAAGGTAGACAATCATCCCAGAAGGTATTTGCGAAATAGATGTGTCTTTAGATCGGTTTTAAAGGATTCCAGTGTCTGGTTGTTTCTAAGATCGACAGGAAGGGCATTCCAAATTGTTGGACCAGCAAATGCGAAAGTGCGCTTTCCGTAAGTCTCAAGGCAAACATGTGGTGTCGAGAGTTTGCCACTATCGGATAAGCGGAGCTCTCTACTGGGTACATAAGGCGTCAGCAGCTCTTTCAGATAGGACGGCGCCAGGTCATGTAAGCAACGGTATTAGTAATTTAGGTTCAATCTAATTATATATATTGTCATTATTGTATATTATTAATTATAATTACCTGACCCATCCAGTGCTTCACTTCGACTTCAAAATCAAATCAAACAAATTGATTGATTTTGAAGATTAATGTATAATAAGTATAGGCATAAGGCATATTATTATACCTATTGATCTAAATAATATTAAATGGGGCCACTTACATTAAGCTACATACATGTCAATGTGAACTCTTAACAAAACAACTGTCACAAATTAATTAACTAAAATAAAAGTAAAATCTGACCTAATTGACAATTGACTAAATTCTAAATGTGAAACGAATCTCGACTCTAAATTCTTAATTCTTTGGAAAGTCGTCTTTATATCACGTCGGAAAAATTAACCCAGACGACGGGGTTCAATATTTAACCGTGATAAAAATATTTTACAGATAACAAACCGTAAGCTTTGATAATTTGATCTATCAAATATTATCATGCCAAGATTAATCAAGTCGATGCAAAGTTCATTCCTGTTTACAGTTGATAGAGTAGCATACCCTGTGACAGCTATCCGCGATTATGTGTGCAACTCTCCTAGCCTAAAGGATATTTTTACGTTCAAATTGTTAACTTTTTAAGGGCGCTTCGTGTTCTAAACATTAAGCTACATTTACATCGTTGAAATTTTCAAAAACATTAATTTTATTTCTTTTGTTTTTAGTAGTTTATTTTAGTTAAACTGAAGAATCAAGTTTACAAACATATAGTCAATTCAATTATCTTTCATTTGACTCCTCATTTTGTCTTACAAACCCAACAATAATATTTTTAATAGTTTGTTTTTTTAAATCCCAACCTCTCACTTCTTGTACCCGAATACGAATAGCCTATTCTTTTTTTTATTATTAATTTTAAAAAAAACTCTTGTTTCTATTGCCTGCTGAAGATTGCTTGTAGATGAAACGTCCTCTTAATTGTCTTGTTTTTTAATATCAATCCTAAACATATATTTTTAGGAATTTAACTATTATTTATTTTATTTGTTCACTTAACCTTGTTAATTTATTATGTTTAAAATACACTTGTGGCCTAGTGTTTAGTAATACTGAGTTTACTCTTATTTGCTCCTTCCTTCCCACTTTCAGTGTACCTAACAATACTCCGTGTACCTAAACGTAATCCGTGTAGCTAACCAAACTCCGAATACCTGACCACTTTTAAGGTGGTCCACGGGGGAAAATATCGATATTTATATAATTTTTATCAAAAATGAGATTATGGTGAATTTTACTAGATAAACATCTAAGGAACATTTTGGTTTTTACCATTTTCATTAAAAAATAATTTAAAGTTGTTAAAAATGTATTTTAAAGTAGTATGGTAAGAGCAAATTTTGACTTCTGGGGCAAAATTCAGGCCCCATAGACCCCCTGGCGCACCCTTCGCTTTTACAATATAGTCATATTTGGTATCGATGGAAAGCTTAGCCTCTCTACTCGGTAATGGTATCGCCCCCTAAAATGTTCAGAAATAAGGCTGGCAAAGCCTCTATATTTTCGCTCGAACAAATGTTCTTATTGGTCGAGATTTAAAGTTTCAATAAATCGGATATTGTCATTGGTCAGCTATTTTTAGACTTCATCAACAAGTCAGAAATATATCCAACAATGCAATGGCCGTCTACCAAATTCATTGTGTCCAGTTGGCGTAACCTTTTATCGATCGATCGACTTTACTTTTGCAGTCTTCAAATAAATTCAAATTTGAACTTATTTTTTTGCTTTGAAAAGGTAAGTTGAATTAATTATTGTATAATTTAATTTATATTAAATAGTTTTAGCTAGTTTTAGGCGTTCCAGTGAAGGTTGAGCTAGGTTTCGTATAATAATACTGTGTCATTATCACTAGGACTAGTAACTAGGCCTACTTACTAGGGTAATCCCTTATTTTAGTGCGTTTTATTATTTTTTGAAAAATAAAATTTAAAATTCATTTTTGCCTTTTGGAACTTAAATAAAAGTATTTTTAAAAGTAAAATACCATCTTTTTGTTGGAATACAACAACAATTTAACACATTTTACGAGATCAAAAGACGTACATTTGCATGAATCTTTTGTCTTTCACGGCGCCATTGTGGTCAAATGAGGAGAACTCTTCTGTCCTTAAAGATACCTTATAAAAGTTGCCTAATTGGATGTATCTATATTAAAATAAATATTTTGTATTCATTTTATAACTTTAATTATGCGTAAGAGGCGGATATTTCTTTCTAAAGAAGTGTTAAGTGGTGGGTTTAAAAATTGTTAATATTTAGGTCTCACATAATTTATGTTTCTTTTATCGGATTATTATTGTGAAATAAAGATCTTTGTTTCACTAATAATTGGATATTCACCTAATTTCTTTACTATAAATAGGACGTTTATTTAATTTCTGCAAATTATTGTGGAACTCGGCCTTTAGGCGACGGAGGCTGACAGTGGATAATTATTGATGACGGTTCGTGATTGTGGATGATGGTTGATGACGGTAGATGTTGGTGGATGATAGAGGGATGATTGTGGATGACGGTGGATAATGGTTGATGACAGTGGATTATGGTAGATGACGGTGGGTGACGAAGGGTGACATTAGATAACGGTAGATGACATATCCATCTATCATCCACCGCCATACATCCACCGTCAACCACCGATGTCGGCACACAATCGGCACAAAAGACTAAATAGTACAAAACAAATAATTGTAAAAACTGACCTTTTATGCTCTGGGAAGTCCAAGGAAAAAAAAATGGAACTGTTTTAAATGTTTTATTAAACAGGATATCGTCCTTTTAAGACAATCAAAAGTTCGTTGAAGACTTTAAACTTTGTGAAGTTGCAACGGAACTGAAACTCCTTTAAATATGATGGAAACAATGTGTCACTTGTTCCGTACTGTCTTTTCAGTTTACGTTTGGCGCGCATCCATAGATTTTCTATATTTTGTGTGTGCACATCTGGGTCGTTGGGATCAACAAAATTTCTTTCGTGCACTACAACTGAATGTATGAATATCCCATTGGACAATTGCTCTATGTTCCTATAGCCTGCCCAGCCATCTGTTATTATGTGTGTCCCTGGCAAAACCTGTTGGACGATAATGTTTTCCAGGGTTCCAGCTGTTCTGTCTGGAACTTCCACTAGGAAGCATTTTCCAGTGGACCTTTCTATGCCACCAAAAACCCAGTGGCCTTGACGCCATGCTCCTCTGTGGTATTTCCGATGGAAATATTTTGATTCGTCAAGCTCAACCACAATGGGCTCCCCATTATCGTCAAAGCCACCAATCTGAGTTGCATGCTGGTTCAGATAAATCCCTATATCCTCTCGAAGAAAATTAAACCAGTCAATCACCGTGTTTTGGTTTTGGATTTGAGACTCATGCCT